CTGTCTGTCTATCTGTCTGTGTGTGTGTGTGTCTCTGTCTGTCTGTCTGTCTGTCTGTCTCTGTGTGTGTCTCTGTCTGTCTGTCTGTCTGTCTGTCTATCTGTCTGTCTGTGTGTGTGTCTGTCTCTGTGTGTGTCTCTGTCTGTCTGTCTGTGTGCGTGTGTGTGTTTGAGAGTGTGTGTGTCTGTGTTTGAGAGGGGGTGTGTGTGTGTGTGTGTGTGTGTGTGTGTGTGTGTGTGTGTGTGTGTGTGTGTGTGTGTGTGTGTGTGTGTGTGTGTGTTTGAGAGAGTGCGTGTCTGTCTGTCTGTCTGTCTGTATGTCTCTGTGTGTGTCTCTGTCTGTCTGTCTATCTGTCTGTGTGTGTCTCTGTCTGTCTCTGTGTGTGTGTCTGTCTCTGTCTGTCTGTCTGTCTGTCTGTCTGTCTGTCTGTCTGTCTGTCTGTCTGTGTGTGTGTGTGTGTGTGTGTGTGTGTGTGTGTGTGTGTGTGTGTGTGTGTGTGTGTGTGTGTGTGTGTGTGTGTGTGTGTTATCATTTGTCAGGTCACTTTAGAGAAGTATATAATTGTGTGGTCTGATGCCGCTCTCAGGTGGACTGTAACTGTCACTGCGTCTTAAAACTTTAATTATTTATTTATAATAAAGTGTTCCTCACATGTTTTTGCTGTGAAAATATAATATAATAATGTAAAAAAAAACATGTACAGTACCAGTCAAAAGTTTGGACACACCCTCTCATTCAATGGTTTTAGATTATTTAAAAAATGTTCTACTTTGCAGATTAATACTGAAGACATTTGAAAGAAGACATATGGAATTATCAAGTGAACAAAAAAGTGTTAAAAAATCCCGAATATAATTTATATTTTAGATTCTTCAAAGTTGCCCCCCTTTTGCCTTGATGACAGCTTTGCACACTCTTGGCTTCTCTCAGTCAGCTTCATGAGGGTTATGGTTCTGTTTTTTAAATATCTCATGGACTTCCCCAGAGTGTATTTACAGGGGGTAATACAAGAACAAATATCAAATGCATTTATTTACAGTGCAGGGCTGCTCTCCACATCAGGCACACGTGCACTCCTATATCCCCTGATAATAGTGATACTAAAGAAACTATTTTGAAAACAATGAAGAGTTAACCAAGGGCAAAGGTCAGCCATGTTAATGGATGTGTGCAGTGCTTTTTGGTGCCTAGAATGGCACTAAAATCAGCCAGAAAGCTGACATTGCAGGTGGGTGCAGTAGAGTACATGATGATGGAGCACATTGCAAATAGTTCCCTTGGGTTGCTGTGTGTATTTTTGAAGAATATTTGAATGTTAAGGCAGATGGGCCTTTTGGGAGTCTGTGGGGTTAGCCCACCGCCGTGTTGTTTTTCTTGAAAGCCTTTTTCTGGAGTTCTGAAACTTTACACAAGTGTACTAAGTATGCCAGGGAAAATGTGCTGTGAATATCAAATGCGTCACTCGTATACTTTATTTTATGTGAATATTCTTTGACTTTGATGTTCAGAAACCGCTAAACTTGCAGAAAATAGCAGATTCTGAATAGCACATTTTAATCACTTTTGATAGAGGGCGCCAAATCCTCCCCCAAATTGAGCACAGTGTGTTTTAACAGGGGTTGCTCCATAGAAAAATATCTCCACTTTGGAGTGGATTTACAATCTACAAATCGAGCCGAAGCTAACAAGCAGTGTTGACTGCCTAGCATGTGGGGAAATGGCGTGTTGAGAGAAAAACCTTAACGGAAGGTTTTGTCCTGTTTTAAGCCGTGACCTTGGACATTAGGTGGACCAAAGGGACCATCCTATGCGCCGGGAGATTTGTATGTAGTCTCTAGGAGGTTATGGTTAGGGTAAATGGTTGGGGTAAGGGGTTGGGGGCACTGGTAGTTTAGTTTAAAATGTGAATATAATACGCTACAAGGTGGGAATGGATACAAGACCTGCTCTGGGTGATAGCTTGGGCCCCAACCTACATTTGTGTGACATTTGGGCTGCCTTGGACTTTGAAAACTTGAAATGGCCATAAGTCATTCCAACGGGTGGGGATCCATACCCCACGTTGTGTGCGCGTTGCCCCCGCCCCCCCAGGGTGCACAGCGAATTTGAAGCAAATTGGTGCATTTTTCATTTTTAATATTCACTAGGTTAAGGGGCTATTTACCACCTCTCGTGTCGTTTACAATGTGCATATTTGGGGCTACGAGGTGGGCATCTGTACGGGACCTGCTCTGGGTGATAGCTTAGGCCCACGGCTATAATGTGTGTGACATTTGGGCCCGGCGGCGGTCTTCCTCGTTACTCTAATTGGAGTTTTAAACCTTAAAACGGCCATAAGTCGTTCCAGCGAGCGGGCATCTGTAGCCCACTTTGTGTGTGCGTTGCACCCGCCCCCCTGCAGGTGCCCACCGAGTTTGAGGCAAATTGGTGCATTTTTCACTTTTCAGTTAAATTGGACCTGTAATTGTTTGCACAAGTGGAAGAAATACTCTCTGTTTCCCACAAGAGGGCGCCAAATCTTTCCCCCAAAGAACAGCTGGTTAGAAAATAAATAAACTACAGAGTGTTTGAATGCGTAGGCCTACATTAACATTAACAGGTTTATGGCATCACTGCCTCATCTAAGACACGAGTGATCTGACTTCATAATTAAACAATTGCATTTGAGTTGAGTGTTTGGTCAACTTAATGTGTTGCTTAAAATAATACTTCTGCATACAGCAGGC